GGAGGCGCAGGAGCGCGAGGAGGAGGAGTACCGGCAGAAGGTTGGCTCGCTGCAGTTCGCGGCGACGACGACGAGGCCGGACATCGCATTCGTGTGCAACAAGCTGGGTAGCGGCCTCACGGTGAGGAGCGACCAGCACTGGCGCGAGGTCGACCGATGCCTCGCCTACCTCGCCAACACGCGAGACACCGCCCTGGAGTTCGGCGGTGGTCCGGAGTCACTGGAGTTGGTCGGCTACGTGGACGCCGACGACGCCGACGACAAGCAGAACCGGATGAGCACGGGCGGCTATATGTTCGTCTACGGAGGGGCCGCGGTCTCCTGGTCGAGCCAGCGCATCAAGTGCGCGAGGCTGTCGTCGACCGAGTCAGAGTACGTGGCGGTCGTCGAAGCCAGCAAGGAGGGACGTCGCCTTCCCTTCCTCCTCGCGAAGTTCCAGCGGGTGGACGCCGGAAAGCCGACTGTTCTCAGGGTGGACAAGAAGTCGGCCATCACGGTCGGCGAGGGCTTGGGGTTAACGGGCAACCTCAAGCACATGGAGCGGCGACAGGCCTGGCTGCAGCACATTGTGAAGCACGGGAAGTTTTCGCTGAAGTACATCCCGACCGCCGAGCAGCCGGCCGACTTCCTGACGAAGGCGCTGCACTACCCGGCCTTCAACCGGTGCTCCGTTGCAATCGGCCAAGTGCGCCTGGCCGATATGGGCGACGGTGACAACGACGTGCAACAATAGGTGCCATGCCCTTCTGCATGGCTGGTGCGATGACCGGCGTGCTGTGCGTTGTGTGCACGCCGACGGGCTATTCTCCGAGCAGTACTGCCGTGTGGGCCGCGGGGGGGGGGAGGGGGGGGGGGGGGGCAAGCGTGAACGCGGCAGGGGAGTGTCAACGGGAGTAGGGTTTGGCCCCGTCCTTGCTTGGGCGGAGCCTACTGCGGGGGCCGCAAAATAGCGGGAGGACCGCGGTGGCCGCGAAACCGCGGGAGGACCGCGATGGCCGCGAAACCGCGGGAGAACCGTGGTGGCCGCGAAACCGCGGGAGGATCGCGGTGGCCGCGAAATCGCGGGAGGACCGCGGGAGCTGCGAAACCACGGGAGGACCGTGGGAGCCGCGAAACCGCGGGAGGACCGCGAAATACCCGGTCAACCTGGATACCCGGGCGACGTGCGCGAAAGTCGCCGGGGGTGTTTTCTGCGAGTACGACCTCGGGGGTGGTATCCCGAGGTCGACGTGGCTGGTGGGCGCCGTCACGGGTGGAGTGTCTGCGCTGGGCATATGACAGGGAGTTGGGCGCCAACCAGCTGCACGCATCTGCGAAGCTGGTGCACCATTGTCAGGCGGGTACAACGCTGTGCAGCCGACTTACTGCAGCGTTGGCACACCGCGGACTTGCAACATTGGGAAGCCGCGACTCTGCTCTACTGAAGCGCGGTCAACCAAGTGGTGCCGGCATGCGGTCGACCGTGCTGCGCTGGCAGTCGACCAGCAGCCTTGCTAGGTCTGATGTAGTCTGTGTTGCTAATGTTGATGCAATCATTCTGAACTTTTGTTGTCAGGTTTTCCTAGTGAAACTCTTGCCAATTTTCCCCGTGAACTAGCAAGCAATGTTAGCAGCTGGAAACGACTAAGGAACGAACGAACGCTACGATCACTCTTGCCCCGTGCCTAGCCCATAGTCTAGCTCCCGTTGCACTAGTTATCTCCGCATGGTGCGGTGAGCGTGGATGACACCGCAAAGAAACCTTTGGTTTAGCTGACTTCTCACTCACCTAGCTTGTTTGTAGACCACCGACTGTGTTGGACGCCATGGTGGACCCCGTTGTAGACGCGGGTGTCGTGGACACCTTGGAAGCACGGCCGGAGGACGCGAGGAGACGTCATGCGGCAAACGAGTACGGAATGATGAGAAACGAGATTGATTGAACTATGAAAGAGATGGGTACAAGTACTAACCGTAATTGGGTTGTACCCCTTATGGGCTACCCCACTATAGCCTACACAAATGTATAAGCTATAATGTTCTGACACACCCCCATAGGCAAAGTGGGGGAGAACAAGTGGTCACAAGACCACTCAAGCAAAGCAAAGCAAGCTCAGGATCACAAAGTCACCACATAGTTCGAGCACAAGAGTAAGGCAAAAAGGCCAGTTCACATGCAAGGTCATAAATATAAAGGTAAACAAGCAAGTGCAGGTATAGAAAGAAGACAGTACAAACAAGATCAAGAAGTGAGCAAGTGAGGCCAGGTAGGCACAAGACCTAGCAAAGTACAGAAGCGCTGATGATCACAAGGCGGAAGGGCCTTGGTGAAGATATCAGCAGTGTTGGCCTCAGAGGCCACGTAGGTGAGGTGGAGCTGACCACGCTGCTGCAGCTCACGAGCCAGAAAGTAGCGGAGAGCAATGTGCTTCGTTCTGTGCTCCAGTCTGTGCTCCCAACACAAGGCCAGCATGGCCTTGTTGTCTACGTACAGAACTGGAGGAGAACGAGGCGGCTCTCCTAGGTTAGTCAGCAGGTAAGTGAGCCAGCGTAGCTCCTGTGCAGCCATGGCTCCTGCGTAGATCTCAGCCTCACAGCTAGAGCTGAGAACAGAAGACGAGCGGGTAGACCGCCACGAAACAGAGCCGGAGCCAAGGCTGAAGGTGTAACCCTGTGACGACCGCTGCGTAGCCTGGTCGTCAGCCCAAGAAGTGTCTGCGTGACCTGTGAGGACCACTCGACGTCGCCCTCCAAGCACTAGCCCCATGCCCGACGTACTGCACACGTAGCGCAACACCCTCTTCGCTGCAGCCATGTGCTCTGGTCTGTGTCTCCCAGGAGCCACATAGCGTGCCCAGATGCTAAGAGGGTATGCAAGGTCAGGTCGTGTGCAGGTCATCAGATATATAAGGCAGCCAACAAGCTCTGGGTACGGGCCACTCGACTCTACGGACTCATCCGAAGGCAGAGCTGAGAGTGACTGGCGAGTAGACAGAGAAGTGGCCTGAGGCGAGGAGTACGTGAAGCCGAAGCGCTGAAGGACCTGCTGCACCATGTGTGACTGAGTCAGGGTAATGGTGCGCTGTGCTCTGTCCCGGGTGATCTGCAAGCCAAGGTAGCTGCGCAGTTCACCCAGGTCTGTGCTCGTGTGTCTCTTCTGCAGCTCAAACTTCACGTGGGCGAGTCCAGCAGTGTCAGCAGTGGCAAAGACCAAATCGTCGACGTACACGAGGATGTAGAACGGCGGCAAAGAGGTGTCGGTGCGCAGAAACAGCGACGGGTCGGCTGTAGAAGGAGCAAACCCAAGAGCCGCAAGTGTAGTCCTCAGTGTGTCGTGCCACTCACGGGGCACCTGGCGGAGACCGTAGAATGGCCGCCAGAGGCTCCACTGGGTACCAGGAGGAAACGGCCCAGTGAAGCCAGGTGGGTGGCGCAGCCAGATCTCCTCGTGCAGGCTGCCCTGCAGGAAAGGTGTGCTGAAGTCAAGAGAGTGAAGCTCGTAGTCGCGCTGAGCGGCTATGTGCAGCAGCACCCGAAGAGTGGTCATTTTCGGGGTGGGAGAGAAGGTTTGAAAGTAGTCAACTCCTTGCCGCTGACTGAAACCTCAAGCCACGTAACGCGCCTTGAAGACAGGCGGAGAACCCGGCGGCCGCTTCACCCTGAAAATTCACATGCCACTGACAATGTTCGCCCCAGGTTGGGGAACCTCGTCGACGTAGGTGCCTGTGAACTTCCAGGAAGCCATCTCTGCGTCCATGGCTGACTGCCACTGAGAGGAGTAGGGACCCTCAATCGCCTCAGCGTACGATCGAGGAGTCGGGATGTCTGGTGCATCCGGGTCTCCCTCAGGGGCAATCAGCGTGGACACGAGATGGGGCAAAGCAGTAGCAAAACACTGGAACTCCTCCTGCCTGTCCTCAAGGACGTCCGTGCTAAGAGCACACTCACCCCCGACGGACGGAGGACAGACAGACTCAGACTCAGCAACAAGACTAGCAGCGTAGTCTAGACGACAGCGAGCTGCAAAGTCGACAAGCTCAGCAACCAAGGCAGACGCAGCAGTGGACTCAAAGGAAGGGTCAGTAACAACAGTAGCAAGAAGGCGCGTGACCGAAGGACTAGCAGCACGAAGGGAGTCAGACTCCGGGTCAGCAAGGAAAGGAAGAGAGGACTCTGGAGGAGACGGCAACGGGGCACGCAGAGGAGCAGTGGAAGGACGCAGTGCCATCTGGTGTGTGCCGGGGACCGCAGGAGGACGCGGACGCGCAGCACGACCACTAGTGCGAGCAGCACGAACAGGCGACGCAGGACGAGACACAGGCTCACGACGCTCAGCAAGACCTCCAGTAGGACCAGTGTAGGGAGAAGGAGCAGGGAGAGGGGAGGCGGGCTGTAGCTGTGACTGCGTCTGGACAGGCTGAGGACACTCTAAGGGAGGAGCAGGACCAGTAGAGGGCGGGAGACCAAGAACCTGCTCCAGGAGCGGAACGAAGTACGGCCTCGGCCGCGTAGCGCCTCCAGAACCAGCAGGGACAGCACTAGTACCCCCAGCAGCAGCACCAGCGCCAGCAGCATCTCCAGCTCCACCAGCGCCAACTCCAGCACCCTCAGAAGCACCAGCGCCAGCAGCACCACCAGCGCCAACTCCGGTAGGAACGTCAGCTCCAGTAGCCTCTGCAGCACCCCTAGACGCACCGGTGCCAGGAGAAACACCAGGGCCAACACCCTCAGTAGCTCCAGCTCCAGCAGCACCAACTCCAATAGGACCGTCAGCTCCAGCAGCCTCAGCAGCACCCCCAGACGCACCGGCGCCAGTAGAAACACCAGCGCCAACACCCCTAGCAGCTCCAGTAGGACCAACTCCAGTAGCCCCAGCAGCACCCCCAGTCTCAGCAGCACGTCTCCAGCGGTGGGCAAACCACTCGCGCAGCCCCTGTGGAGAGAGCGGCTCCCGCCTCGACGAAGCACCGCCGGCGGCCACACGAGCAGACCAAGCGCCCCCAGGCTCCGCACCCCCAGGCTCAGCACCCCCAGGCTCAGCACCCCCAGACCCAGCACCCCCAGACTCAGCACCCCCAGTCTCAGCACCCCCAGACTCAGCACCCCCGGACCCGGCACCTGCAGGCCAGCACCTCTAGCAGCACTAGAGCCAACAGCTACCTCGACAGGCTCGACTGCGTCTACCTGGGACACACCTGACGGGGCAGGACCCTGAGGGGGGAGGGGGTCTACCGGGGGAGGACCTGGTGCAAGGAAGAGTGGCGGCGGGGGGAGAGGCGCAGTGCGGTAGGGGAAGAGACGGTAGTAAGGCACCGACTCGTCAAAGGTGACGTCCTGGGAGGACAGAACACGGCGCGAGGTGGGGTGGTAAAACTGCCACCCAGGCGCGTCAGGGGGGAAGCCAAGGAAGACGCAGGGAACAGCACGGGGGGACAGCTTGTCCGCAGACAAGTCGCGGACAAACGCCCGAGATCCCCAGACCCGAAACGCAAACGCATCGCCAACCTTCCCGGTCCACCGCGAGGCGGGGGAGGTCTCTGGCAAGGAGACCCGGGGCTGAAGGTTGAGCTGATGTGCGGCGTACTGAACCGCAAACGGCCACAGAAAATGGGGGGCAGCCGCATGCATCATGGACGTACGAGCGACGTCCATGACCATGCCAATGCGGCGCTCAGCAATCCCATTTTGCTGTGGAGAGGCCGGAAGCGTGAAGGTCTGGCGGATGCCCTGTGCACGATAGAAGGCTCCCAGACGGGCAGAGGAAAACTCCCCGCCTCTGTCCGAGTGCAGACGCAGAACAGGAAAGTCCGAGCCGAAACTCTCTCTAAGCTGGAGACGAGCTGCGCAGATCCAGTCGATCAACACCTCAGTGACGTCACCCTTGCTGCGCAAGGGGAAGACTGCGGTGTAAAGCGAGTAGTCCTCAACCACCAGCAGGAAGTACCGCTCGCGCCCCTGCCCACTGACGCGGGCTGGGCCCCACACGTCCATGTGGAGAGTCTGAAGCGGAGCCTCTGTCGGAGGAAACTCGGAGGAGTGAGGGGCGGCGCGCTGTCGCCCCTCGACGCAGGGGACGCAGGTAGGGCCAGGCCCCGGAGGAAGGGGAGGGAGAGACCGAGGGAGACTAGAGACAAGGACACGGGAGGCCATGCCTCGGAGACGAGGCAAGGAGTGGTGACCAAGGCGGTGGTGCCAAAGGAGAGTCTGGTCGGACAGGAGACGGCACGAGCAGGGAGCACACTCAGGGCCAGACCTGGACGCCGCAGCAAACACCTGACTCGACGCAGATACCTGACCAGACTCAGCAGCCGGAGGGGACTCAGTAGTAAGGGTGTACAAGCTCGACCCTGGCCGACGGGTGAACGTGGCCAAGTGTCGGCCTGTCCGAGCACACGTGCAGTGGGTCACTTGCTGACTCGCAGGAGTGAACTGGTCAACCCCCCTATCCTGTAGGTCCACTCCACTCACCAAGTTCGTAGAGAACGAGGGGAGGTAGAGACCTGACAGGGTGCCAGAGGGGGCTGCCGGGCACGGTAAGAGAGTGGAGAAGCTAGCAAGGACAGGACCCCCCAGAGGGGTCTGCCAGGGAGACTGCAACCGGCCGATTGAGCGGCGTAAGAGTGGTGCGGTCTCAAAAGAAGGAGCGGGACGCACCCGAGTCAAGGGTGAAGGTGTGGAAGGCCTGAGCCGACGTAGTACCTGAGAGAGCAGACTCACCAGCACCTGGGGCATTAGACGCACTAGCCCCTGGGGCAGCAGACGCACTAGCACCTAGAGCAGCAGCCTCACCAGTACCTAGAGCAGCGGCCTCAATGCCCGGGTCAGGCGGTACACACAGGTAACAGTCACCCGCAACACTAGTATCAACAGCATACATGGCAGCAAGAATAGCATCAAAATCAAGATCAAAGTATGTTACCCCGCCTTAGACAGATCTCCCCAGCAAGGGATCTCTGACGCCTCAGGGAACTGGCGACGCCACGCGTCTGTCAGGCGACCGAAGCAGCGCTGGGTGGAGTGCGGGCCTCCGCACTGCTCACCAGCTCGGTCGCCGGTACGGAGGACGTAAGTGCAGGGACCGAAACCCCCACCGCGCTGACGCGCAGTGTACCACTCACGAAGCTGCTGAGGGGACAGGGTCACACCACTCCGCTGCTGCTGGCGCGGACCACCACCTTAGCCACTCCTCTGCGCAGAGTTGCGACCCGCTCCACCACCGCTGCCGCCGCCTCCTCCACTCCCGCCTCCTCCTCCACCTCCGCCTCCTCCACTACCTCCGCCGCCTCCGCTCCCTCCGCCGCCTCCGCTCCCTCCGCCACCACCACCGCCTCCACCGCCTCCACTGCTGCCGCTGCCGCCGCCACCCCTGGCACCACTCCCACCACCACCCCCACTCCCTCCACTGCCTCCACCACCACCTCCACCGCCCCCTCCAGCCCCTCCAGCGCCCTTTCCCCCCTTGCCCTTGCTGGTGCGGGGTCTCCCGCTCGGGGCAGACATAGCGCCGACCGAGTCAAAGCCAACGAGGTTGGCCGCAGCAGCAGAGGCAACAGAGGGCAAGAGGGGGGAGGGAGAACACCCCTCAAAGACGGGGGTGCGAGGGTCACCACAAGAGGCTCCTACAGCAACTATGCTCTTCTCTATCGCTAGGAGGGCCTTCTCGAGGAGGTCAACGGTGAGAGTGGTGGGGCAAACGGAGAGGAAGTGGTCCCTGACTACGCGGAGAGAGTCAGGGAGCCGGGTGACTATGTAGTAGAGGGTGATGTACATGGGGGGGGGGGTTCTGGGCGCAGAATTGAGCAGGAAGCGCAGCGCGGTAGCGAGTGTCACTAGTGCGGAGGTGTGTAATGAGGTCAGCGACTGTGGGAAAGGCAGCAAGGTCAGGGAAGAGGTACGGTAGCATGAGGCGGCTCAGTGCAGCAGTGGCAGGGGAAGAGTAGCGTGCAACTACAGCGTCGTACAAGGTCTGAGCACTCTTGTACTGGCTAAAGTGTGCACGCTCAGTGGTCGGTAAGTGGCGACGAAAAGCAAGGCGAGCAGCAGCATCGCGTGTGGCCCACTGTGAGCGAACAGTGCTGTCAGCAGTAGCAGGCGGGGCAGGAGAGACACCAGAGGTGAGATCGAACAGAGAGAGTCTGTCTGCCCTATCGCACTGAAGAAACAGCTGGAGGTCATCGACCCAGACCTCAAAGTCAACGGCACGACCCTCAGCATCAAAAGTGAGGACACTGGGGGTAGCCATGACTGTAGTGGCCTAGGAGGAAGTGAGCTCACCAGTCCGAGGAAGGAGGAGCCGGGAGCACCGGTAGGAACAGCAGCTGCTAGACAGTAGGGAGGCTCGACGGCTCGGCGGCTCGGCGGCAGGGCGGCTCGGCTGCTGGGCGGCTCAGCTGCCGGGCGGCTCGGCTTCTGGGCGGCTCGACTGTTGGGCGGCTCGGCTGCTGGGCGGCTCGGCTGCTAGGCGGCTCGGCTTCTGGGCGGCTCGACTGTTGGGCGGCTCGGCTGCTGGGCGGCTCGGCTGCTGGGCGGCTCGGCTGCTCGGTAGGTGGGCGGCTCGGGTGCTGTGCTGCTCGGCGGCTCGGTCGCTGGGCGGCGGAGCGGAGATAGGGCCGCGAGGGGAGGGCGACGGGGCCGCGGGTGACGGCGACAGGGCCGTAGGTGGCGGCGACGGGGCCGAAGGTGGCGGCGGGGCCGCAGGTGGTGGCGGTGTGGCTGTAGGAGGCGGCGACGGGGCCGCAGGTGGCGGCGACGGGGCCGCAGGCGGCGGCGACGGGGTCGCGGAAGGGCCTAGACAGGGCCGAGAGGGGCCGAAAGGGGCCTAGCCGGGGCCGAAAGGGGCCTAGACGGGGCCGAAAGGGGGCCTAGACGGGGCCGCGGAGGGGCCTAGACGGGGCCGAAAAGGGGGCCTAGACGGGGCCGCGGAGGGGCCTAGACGGGGCCGTAAGGGGCCTAGACGGGGCCGCGGAGGGGCCTAGATGGGGATGAAAGGGGCCGAAAGGGGCCTAGACGGGGCCGCGGAGGGGCCTAGACGGGGCCGTAAGGGGCCTAGACGGGGCCGTAAGGGGCCTAGACGGGGCCGCGGAGGGGCCTAGACGGGGCCGCAAGGGGCCTAGACGGGGCCGCGGAGGGGCCGTAAGGGGCCTAGGCGGGGCCGTAAGGGGCCGTAAGGGCGGCGCGAGGGGCCTTAGAGGGCGGCGCGAGGGGCCTTAGGGGGCCGTAAGGGGCCGTAAGGGCGGCGCGAGGGGCCGTATAGGACGGCGCGAGGGGCGGTAAGGGCAGCCAAAGGGGCCGTGAGAGGGGCCACTAAGGGCGGCTCGAGGGTAGGTATGGCACACAAAGCGCGACTCGGGCAGGAGTGAAGCGTGCTCCGGGCAAGGAAAAAAAATCGTGGTGGGCCCTAGGCAGCATTCCCACTAGGGAACCTGCTCGATACCATGATGAGAAACGAGAATGATTGAACTATGAAAGAGTTGGGTACAAGTACTAACCCTAATTGGGTTGTACCCCTTATGGGCTACCCCACTACAACCTACACAAATGTATAAGCTAAAATGTTCTGACACGGAACTCTCCCGCTGACGGCCGTCGAGGCTGGCATCCGCGCCTTGTGGGCGGCGGAGCACCCCCCTTCTCGGCCTGCATCTCCTCGACTAGTGAACAACGCAGGCGGCGTCGACGCGGGAGTCAACGCCGCGGGTGACCAAGTTGGTAGCATCGCGGGAGGCACGTCGAGGCAGCGAGGTTTGATTCACGCCGATGAAGTCGGCGGCGTTCAGGCGCGAGGGATGCAGTCATCGGCAGCTGCAGGGGCCCCGCAAAACTACGTCGGAGGCAGCTGCAGGGGCCCCTGGCTGTCCGCGCAGCCCGCGCGCAGCTCCTGCCGGCCCGCGCGCCGCTCGCCAGCAGCCCCGTAGGCCGCCCGTAGCCCCAGGCGCCGCTCATAGCGCTGCCCCGCAACCCCGTGCACCGCCCGCCCTGCTACTCTACTGGCCACTCGTCGCCCCGTGCGCCGCCTGCCCGCTCGTCGCGCTGCCCCGCAACCCCGTGCGCCGCCCGCCCTGCTACTCTGCCAGCCGCTCGTCGCCCCGTGCACCGCCTGCCCTACTGCCGCGGCTGCCAGCTGCGCCTACGCACCGCCCGCCTTGCTACTGCAGCCGCCCACTACGCCATGCGTGTGGCCTGCCCTGCAGCCATGCTGGCCGCCTGTAGCCCCTGCCGCGGCTGCCACTGCTGCTGCCAGCGCTGCACTGCCCCACCGTGCCCTAGCCGCGCTGCACTGCCCGAGCTGCGCTGCACTGCTGAACCGCGCCGCGCTGCCTAGCTGCCTGGCAGACCGGTTTCTACTGCTGCACTGCTACTAGTGCTACTGTTGCTGCTACTGCTACTTGCCTGCAATCGCTCTGCCCTGCTAGTCCTGCGCCAGCCGCTATGGCCAACCTCTGAGTTTTGTCGCTCGATGCCGAGGGCCGCCCGATTCAGTTCGAAACCTGGCTAGATGACATGCAGCTGCTCCTAATGAGCGATAGCAAGGACAATGTCTCACTCTATGACCACACGTCTGGTGCCTCAGTCGCTCCCACTGCCACCGCAGAGCTTAGCGCCCGTTCCCAGTGGCAGACCCGTGATGCTGCTGTGCGCCTAGCCGTTTGCAATCACCTTCCGTTAGCCGAGCTCACGCATTTTGGCGAGTACAAGACTGCCAAGACCCTGTACAACGCTGTAGTTGCTTGATACTCCTCCCGTGCCAAAGGTGAGCTTAGTCGCCTCATGCTGCACTACCTGTTTCCTGAGCTATCCACCTTTGCCACAGTTGCCGATCTCATTACCCACCTTCGCACTAGCGACACCCGCCCGCGCGCCGCCCTCTCGAAAGAGTTATATGATAAGCACCCGCCTCCGATGTACTGGACCCTCCACTTCATAGTCACCCGTCTCCCTGACTCTCTTAGCTCGCTCAGGGACCACTTTCTTGTTGAACAAGAATGAATGAACTAAGAGTGAAATGAGTACAAGTATCAAAACCTAGGAATGTGTACCCCCTATAGGCTAACCCACTGTAGCCTAAACAACTACAACAACATATATAATGTTTGACACACCCCCATAGGCGAAGTGGGGGAGAACTAGGGGTCACAAGACCAGTCAAGTAAAGCAAAAAAGCTCAGGGTGGATCACAACGTCACCACACAATCCAAGAACAAGTGCAAGGCCACAAGGCCAGTTCACATGAAGGAGTACAGATATATATATAAGACTAAATAAGCAAGAGCAGTGATATATATATGTAACAGTACAAAGAGGGTCAAGAGGAGAGCAAGTGAGGCAAGACAGACACAAGACCCAGCTAGGTACAGCAGCGCTGATGATCACAAGGCGGAAGTGCCTTGGTGAAGACATCAGCAGTGTTGGCCTCAGAGGCCACGTACGCAAGTCGCAACTGACCACGCTGCTGTAGCTCACGAGCAAGGAAGTAGCGGAGAGCAATGTGCTTTGTTCTGTGCTCCAGTCTCTGCTCTCGACACAAGGCCAGCATGGCCTTGTTGTCGACGTACAGGACTGGAGGAGAACGAGGCGGCTCTCCAAGGTCGGTCAGCAGGTAGGTGAGCCAGCGAAGCTCCTGAGCAGCCATGGCCCCTGCGTAGATCTCAGCCTCACAACTGGAGCCAAGAACAGAAGACGAGCGAGTAGCCCGCCACGAAACAGAGCCGGAACCAAGGCTGAAGGTGTAACCCTGTGACGACCGCTGCGTAGCCTGGTCGTCAGCCCAAGAAGCATCTGCGTGTCCAGTGAGGACCACTGGACTCCGCCCTCCAAGCACTAGCCCCATGCCCGACGTACTGCACAAGTAGCGCAACACCCTCTTCGCTGCAGCCATGTGCTCTGGACGGTGTCTCCCAGGAGCAACATAGCGTGCAAGAATGCTAAGAGGGTATGCAAGGTCAGGTCGTGTGCAGGTCATCAGGTACATGAGGCAGCCAACAAGCTCACGTGGCGCCTGGCGGAGACCGTAGACTGGACGCCGGAGACTCCATTGGGTACCAGGAGGGAAAGACCCAGTGAAGCCAGGTGGGCGGCGCAGCCAGATCTCCTCGTGCAGGCTGCCCTGCAGGAAAGCTGTGCTGAAGTCGAGAGAGTGCAGCTCGTAGTCCCGGTGAGCAGCAACGTGCAGCAGTACCCGAAGAGTGGTCATCTTCGGGGTGGGGGAGAAGGTCTGAAAGTAGTCAACTCCCTGTCGCTGACTGAAGCCACGAGCCACGTAACGCGCCTTGAAGACAGGCGGAGAACCCGGCGGCCGCTTCACCCTGAAGACCCACATGCCACTGACGATGTTCGCCCCAGGAGGGGGGACAGCGTCAACGTAGGTGCCTGTGGACTTCCAGGAAGCCATCTCTGCATCCATAGGTGCCTGCCACTGAGAGGAGTAGGGACCCTATATCGCCTCCGCGTAAGAGCGCGGAGTCGGGATGTCAAGTGCATCCGGGTCTCCCTCAGGGGTAAGCAGTACGGACACGAGATGAGGTGAAGCAGCTGCCAGACACTGGAACTCCTCCTGCCTGTCCTCAAGGACGTCCGTGCCAAGGGCACACTCACCCCCGACGGACGGAGGACAGACAGACTCAGACTCAGCGACAAGACTAGCAGCGTAGTCTAAGCAACAGCGAGCAGCAAAGTCGACGAGCTCAGTAACGAGAGCAGACGCAGCAGTAGACTCGAAAGAAGGGTCAGTGACAACAGTAGCAAGGAGACGCGTGACAGTAGGACTGGCAGCA